AATTGCCCTTATTGCTTACATGGCAAATAAACTAATAATAAAGCTGAAATAACAAGCTGTAACAACAAACTGAAATAACTACCAACTAACACTGACATAACTAACAAAGAATACATGCTGTGCTGCCATACGAGCACAGTGGGGACCACAGCCGTGGGGTCCACATCAGTGTTCTCTACAATTAATATCCAGCTTATGTGTCCAAGTCTTATTGATAATAAATTATTACTAGGGAAAATCAGCTTTATTTATAAAGCAAAAGTTCTTTCATAATCAATTCCTGAGTTTGAATGAGATTGTAGAAACAAGTCTTGCCTTGTACCTACCGGTTGAACCATTTCTTTTTATTCTTTTAAAGTTTATACTCATTTTCATTATACCACACCATTTCCGTCATAAGAAGTTGTTTACTTCATTTGTCCAATCATGCATCTCTTTAAAGATACTCAAGGAAGGATTCCTTTTTTGTATCATTATGTAAATCTTATATACTAAAACTTTTCATTTAAAGTAATCTTTGCTTATTGGAGGTAATATGTGAGGTCTGTAAGATATAATTTGTAGCATTAACACTTTCTTTTCAGATTTTCTTTACAGGACTATTCTTGAAGTAGGTATAGTACCAATACCATGGGGAACAAGGAATCAATAGATGACTCTTTCCAAGATGAAACTCCACGGGGGCCAACTTATGCAGGGACTTCAAGGGAACCTTACTATAGTACACAGCAATCGTCATACATACCCGATAATTTTAGCTCTTTTGATGAGGTGTTTATCATGACTTCAACTTCCTTTTGGATGCTATTTAGTAATCTTGTTTAACTGAAGAACAACAGGAAAACATTTTCTTATTTAAATTTTTTAATGAGATGGCATGGTGCTTTGATATAGTGTACTGTGTTGGTACCATGAATGCCATGGCAATAGTAGGAACCATCACTATAGTGGTACCATTGCCATTAACTACCTTGACCCCAAATCAATAAAAGAACAGGCAATACAAAAAAAAAAGAAAAAAAATAGAGAGAGAGAGAGAGAGAGAGAGATTGGCTTTCTAGTCTGTGAAATCTGACACTTGTAGAGGAAATGCCTATATTTTTGGTCAGTTATTTTTATTTCTTGTCCATTCATTTTAACTCCTTCAGTGAATCCTTTTCCCAAATTGTTAGTTTCCAGATTTTTGCTACCTATATTATCACAGGAATCACTAATCACTATATGACTCTTTCCATGATGAAACTCTGCAGGGGCCAACTTATGCAGGGACTTCAGGGGAACCTTACTATAGGAGTACACGGCAATTGTCATACATACCTGATAATTTTAGCTCTGTTGATGAGGTGTTTATCATGACTTCAATTTCCTTTAGGATGCCATTTGATAATCTTATTTAACTGAATTAATGAGATGGCATGGTGCATTGATATAGAGTGTACTGTGTTGGTACCATGAGTGCCATGGCAATAGTAGGCACCATCACTGTAGTGGAATCTGACATTTGTAGAGGAAATGCCTATATTTTTGGCCATTTATATTTATTTCCTGTCCATTCAAGTAAACTCCTTCAGTGAATTCTTTTCCAAACTATTAGTTTCCAGATTCTCGTTACCTAATATTATCACAGGTTTTCATTACCTTTATTGCTGGTATACATTTAGTAGTAGGCTGCATGTGGTAGTTCTGTTTCAAATTAAAAGAACAAATAGAGATGTGGTACTCATATTTCCAGGTTATTTCTGCATTGAGAGAAGCTGGTCTCGAATCATCCAATTTAATCCTTGGTATCGACTTTACAAAGAGCAATGAATGGACAGGTGATATTTGATTGATTTACTCTATGCTGTTATCAGATTTTGGAAAATCTCCTCAGTTGAGGAAAAAGAAAACATCATCTTTTAATGATTGTAGGTAAATATTCATTCAACAGGAAAAGCCTTCATGCAATCGGTGGCATTCCTAACCCATATGAGCAAGCTATATCCATAATTGGCCGTACATTGTCTCCTTTTGATGATGACAACTTGATACCTTGTTTTGGATTTGGTGATGGTTAGTTTTGTTTTGTAGTTGAATTTGTAACTGAAATATGTCGTGGCTTTTCTTAGAGCTGGTTATCTGATTACTTTTCCCTTGTAGTGTCAACACATGATCAATATGTTTTCAGCTTTTTCCCTGATTTTCGATGTTGCCATGGCTTTGAGGAGGCTCTTGCACGATATAGAGAGATTGTTCCTTATTTAAAATTGGCAGGTTTGTAATGTTGTTCTTCCTTATTCCTTATCTTATGCTGTAAACTTCATTCTAGGGGCTGAGTGCATCTAATAATTATGAAATAATATGGGAATTCAGTGCTGCTAATATGAACATCCTAACATTTCTACATAATGTCACCATGAATTGGTTACATTGTGGCTTTGTTGATAATTGCACAATGCATACCTCTAATAGAAGCACCCAAACAAACTAAAAGTCAATCTTGTTATTTAGGATTTAAGAATAGGAACCTGAAAATGACGAGACAAATAGACATGCAAAACAATTATAAAAGATCTGATTAGAGAAAGATCCAAGTAATGTTTTAGTTGTCAAGAAGGTGACTAATTTCCAGTTTCCTCTTTTAACTTTATTGAGAAGCAAGAGCATTCATCACCTTTCTTTAAGTACTGTAGAGAGACTGGGYCGAGTGGGCCCTAGTGTCTTATTATCTTTTGTCTTCTTTTATTTGTTATGTTTATGTTAATGGGCCTTGTTCATGTGGGCGTGTTAACCATTTTTTATTTCTTTTAAGTTATGCTTATGAGCTGGCCGCCCCATTAAGGGCATCATTGTAATTAAACCATTGAGATTATATTAGTAAAACTAATTAGGAGAAAGGAGAGAAGATGGATTGATCTCTCTTCTCCTTCTCCCTTTTCTCATTTCTTCTTCTTTCACTCCTGATTTCTTCTACTTCTCTATCTTCTATCTAATTTCAGTTTCTATTGTTATTTCTTATGGACTGAATCACATCTAGTACTTACCCAAAATTTGTTTCAGTCCTACTGTACACTCTGATATCAATCTTTGACTTGAAAATGAAGCCATATATACTTTGGGGTCTTGGTACTATTGCATGGTGATGCATAGGAATTGGAATGCACGTCTAGGAAGTCTGACTTTCAGGACAAAAAAATGGACTAAGAGGCACTAATACTGTTATAATAGTCTTATATTTGGAATCCTAACATGGTATACCCATTATTCTTTTTTGATAAGTACACAATATTTCATTAAATAAAAAGATAACCAAACTGCTCAGAACAAAAGCAGCTAGCCTGTAATTACAATGACTTCCTTTACATAAACCTACAAGAAAATAAAACAGAGAG